GGGGGGGTGATACAGTCATCTCAAACTAAACAAGTCTTTAGTTTAGTTTAGCTTTAGTAGAAGTTTTACGGCGCTCGCAACTGCATAAGGTCATATGAACGCCAGAAGATAAGAGGCATTTACAAGTGAGTAACAAACATAAAAAAAGAAGAAGGGGAGATAAGGACGATAGATGTTAGATTGGAAAGAAGTTCAGAAGCAAACAAGTCTACTCTCATAATAAACATAATGCTGCTAAAAAAATTCATCAAAAGGAAAGAACAAATTCTCTCTCTATATATATAATGCCAGAATAAGAACTTGAAATGAACCCAGATTCTTCACACACTCAAAAAAAAAAAAAAAGAAAAGAAGAAAAGACAGACTAGAAGAGACAAGAAAAAAGAAAAGAAAAGCAGGTTCACAGTGCAGTTCACAGAGGTACAGCACTTACAAAAAAACTCAAAAAAACGAGACAATGACAAATTTAGAAAACATCAACGAGAATATATATTTTCCAATAAAAAGGTCAACTATCACATTTACAAAAAAAGAAGAAAAAAGCACCAAAACTCATACAAGACAAAATTAAGGCTACTACCACACTACGGTATATTTTTGTCTCTGACAGGACTGTCCTGTCCAACCGTCGTATTTTTTACCGCACTAGGACAGCACTGATCTGGCGCATTAGGCGGCTTCTTTGCTGTTGCCCGAGGCGGAGTTAAAAATGCATTCCAAAAATGTCCTAAATATTGTCCAAATAAAAAAAAAAAAAAGATTTTAGTGATCAGCGACCCAACAAAATTATCTAAAATCATGCAAAACACGCAAATTAATGCCCCATTACAAAGTTAAATTAGATTTTTTGTCTGCGGGTGTGTTTCACCATTCGTCCGGTACTAGGCCTAGATCAAGATTGTATCTTGTCTTTAATGTCTCGACTGCAATAGCTAACATCAGCCCTGTTCTACAAACATTGTTTACTTTCCACTGCACAAATAAAGTTTTCTATCCAATTCGGATCAACATCCATTTTGACGAGAATAGACTGTTTAGAAACAACCGAGCGACTGCAGCTGACAATAAAGTTGAGAATCAAGATGCAAAACACGACCATAGGGGCCTACTGCACCGTGTTGTGTGTAGAAGCTTTGACCAGAGACCTAGGTCTCTGCTTTTACTTTCCTGGAGATGTGCAACGCACCGGGTGACCTTGGTACTCAGTACCAATGAGCTTTATATTTATAGCCTAAAACTTACTAATCACGTTGATATGACAGTAAATGGCCCGACGCAGATTTTTTTTTCCACTGGCAATTTTGTACAGTTAAAATCCCCAAAAGGTATTCTCTTACCACTGTCAGGCTTTAAGTCTAATAACGCTCCTCCTACAATTTTGGAGACAGGCAAGTGACCGGAAAACTCACCATGTTGATATGTTTATCAAAGACCTGCTCCACCACTCTCACGTTGACCACCTTAGGCTTCAGGACCTCTCTACTGACAACCTGACCCAGCAACATCAGCCGTGACGCCATGGCGGCAAATTCCACAAACAGGCACACTCACTTCTGCTCTTGTGTAAGTTTTCTCTGACCTGAAAACATATTGTCTCTTGACTATTGGCTGACCTGACTGACAAGGAATTGACTCACATCATGTACATTACGTAATACAAAAACATGAAAAAAGAGCATTCCTTTTTCTCCAAATTCTGACAAAAAGGTCAGACTATGATTTATAACAAATGTAAAATAAGGAATTATGAGAAAAGTGTACTGACAGAGAAGATAATCAAAACAGTGGAACTCGGATTCAACGAGGTTGTCGAGCCTGACTTAAAATCTCGTTGAATCCGAAAGTTTGTTATCGCAAACATAACGTTTTGTGTAGATAATTACAGCTGAAATGAAAATTTTTGTTTGGGCTCTGAATTAAGTGTACTGGGATTCCCAATAACCAGTATGGGTCAAGAAACAGAAACACACTATCCCTATATGATTTCACTGTCAATTTTTTAAATTTTTTAGATGCAAAGGGTTCGAAAGACCAAAATTCGTGCAAATTGTTGGCAGGGATTCTGAAAAAGATTGAATTGATACAGCCTTGATATCATCACACAGTGTTTGTGTATATACAACCTGCAACGTACTAAAGATTTACTTTCCTAAGTCTCATACTTTTCTTGTAAATGCCCTTTTAGTGTCATATACGATACTTGGACAAAAAAATGATCACAAATCAGAGTTATACTGCCAATCTTTTTAACACTGACGGAAGACTTATTACAATATCACAATAATCTTTTAGTACGTTGCAAACATATTATCAAGAAACAGTCATGCAAAATGGGATTCAGCTGCGATGAGTACTTTCAGAAATATCTCTGCCAAGGTGACCCACCCCCCTAAGAAAATCATAGTTTTGAGAAAACTTTAAAAAACACGAATTCATACCAATCTATTACGACACAATGTTGAAAAACATGGCATATGTGAGCACTTTATAGATGTTTTGGACACTTGAAAATATTTCCAATCGATAAAGCAGATGTTGCTCTTCTAAAATAGTCCAAAATTGAAAAATCGGTTTTGGATACCAAAATCGACTTTTTAGGCTGCCGTGGTGTACCTTGCCTTAAAGAGAAGTCACAAGTAGTGTCTGAAATGCCTGCAAATTAAGAGCTGTTTTTAAAAAAAGACTAATTCTTTCGCTGTGTAGAGCCTGAAATACTGCAACTTTTGATTCCATAGACCAGCGCACAATTCATTATGTAGCTCTACGTCAAGACTAGATCTAGCTTATCATTGTAATAATGATCAGTTGCCGAGGGGGAAAAAGGCTGTGACGCGTTTGTACGAGTATCTGCGACGTTCAAAGCCCGGGCCGCTAGTGCCCCCCCACCTCGCACTCACACGTGTGCAGGCCGCCGATCCAACCTCGACACACGTGCGTATGCCAACAACGCATGTGTTGGTATGGAAAAAGGACGCTGATTGGTTGCATGCAATTGGATAAGTGAATAATATAATGGTTCACGATGCAGGAGCAATGGATGGTTTCCGGGAACAGATAAAGTTTGTTGAGGGAGAAAAATGAACGCAGCCACGTCTGCCGGGGCTGTTCACCCTGTAAGCGCCCTTGTTGAATCCGAGCTCGCTGATTTAAGTGCTCGTTGAATCCAGGTTATTTTTATTGATTTTAAAGAAGAAAAAAAAAAACAGGAATCTATCTCCTCTCATTGAATCCAAGATCTCGTTGAATCCGGGGAGGGGGCACTAGCGGTCGGGTGTTGAACGTCGCAGATACAAACGGGTCACAGTCTTTTTCCCCCCTCGGCAACTGATCATTATTACATGTACAATGATAAGCTAGTCTTGACGTAGATCTACATAATGAATTGTGTGCTTGTCTATGAAATTAAAAGTTGCCGTGTGCTGGGCTCTACACAGCAACACAACTTTTTGGTACACAATCGAGATGACACAGGCGCGTGCATTTGAACGAATCGGTCTTTTTTTTACACAGCTCATAATATGCAGGCATTTCAGGCACTACTTGTGACTTCTCTTTATACATTACTTTCTGAGTGTCTGTAATTATTTACACAAAACCTAGTGTTTGCTATAACTATAACGAACACTCGGATTCAACGAGACTTTAGGTCAGGCCCAGCGACCTCGTGGAATCCGAGTTTCACTGTAGTGATGAGGGTAGACTGGAAGTGTTTGCTGTTGTGATGTTTATGCTTTGTTTCTATTTCTAGTTGAAGCCATGGTGAAATGAAAAATGGGGAGCTCCAGGATGTGTGTGTCATGTGTGTTTGTGTGTCTGTGTGTGTGTGCGTGCAAGCACATGTTGAGCAGTGCACTAAAAATAGCACGGCTTGCTGCTTCTGTGAAGGGGGGAAGGTGGTATTTTATGGACATTGTCTTTTTCCTTTAAAAAAAAAATTACATGTATGTACAGTGGAAACCACAATATATAACAGGCCCGGTAATAACAGGGTTTTTAAAATTCCCGTTTTTTCCTACTATTTGTCTTTATTTAAAATTATCGGCAATAAAAGGACCTCATTGGAGCCCAGTTGGTTATAGCAGGGACAACGGCTTGCTAACAATGTGTAAAAAGTAAGAGAGATAGAGAGAGGGAGGGAGAGAGGGAGAGAGTGAGGGAGGAGGGGGAGAGAGAGGGGGGGGAGAGAGAGAGAGAAAGAGAGAGAGAGAGAGAGAGTAACACAGAGAAGGAGCAAGCCAACGCAAGCCACACCACTGCAAGCACACGCAGCAGGCGAAGCGAGAGAAGACTGCCATGTGCTGCAGACTTCGATCTAGCCCAAAGGCTAGCTATACGCACGCGTAATGTGTCATGCGCAGGCCATGGGAAACTGCCCATGAACATAACAGCTGGATTAGTCCACAAATGCTCACTTCCCTTGCATTTCTGATTTAACAGGGATCTGATATAACAGGACTTTTTCTCTGGTCCCACCATCCCTGTTATATCAGGTTTCCACTGTATCATTTATTGAATATAAAATTATCTTATCAAAGGGAGTTTCAGGGGTGCTTGCCCCCCCTGATGTAACTGAAATATAGCCACCCCCCCCCCCCCCCCCCGAATTTAATCATAATTTGATATACAGTCGAACCTGCCTTAATGGAAACCTGTGTAAAAAGGAAACCAGTCTTAACGGAATCTCCCCGCTCTCCCCTCGATATTTTCCTCTTCAATTACCTGTATAAAACGGGAAACCTGTCCAACGCGGAAACAGAAAGAAAAATCCGCTCCCTTCCTAGGGTTTTACCTAAGAAGACAGAAAATGTTTAGCCCGTTCAGTCCTGATTTGAAACAAAAATCACAAAAATTTTTCTGTCTGCCGGCTGTAAACTTAAAGCTATGCTGCCAGGTGAGGAAGGGAAGTAGGGGTGAAATTTGAGGGTAGATGTTACCCCTGAGTGATGAAGATGGTCAGGATGGTATGGGTGTGAAATCTCACGAGTGCCAGTGAAAGTGCTCGAGTTGGGCTCCAGCAAGGAAACTTTCATTGGTAGCCAGAGGTCAGAGGTGTGAAATTAGTTTGACCAATGCCTGCTGCTCTGATCGTACAGCCAGCCGAAAAAAGAGTTCCTCAAATCGACTGTGCTTATTACACCAATGGGTGGGGCTATGGGTGGAAGCAACGGAGATGTTCAAACGTTTCTGTTTTTAATAGATCAAACAGCGGTCCTATGAAATGCAAGCACTGGTGGTAATTGGATAAGTAAGACTGACGTATGTCATTATCAGAGAGGATAGCAGCATCCCCCCCCCCCCCCCCTTCTATGTTTTTCAGATCTATAAAGAAATGATATTATAATGACATTTTCTAAGAGGACCATAACATGTCCAAGACAACTACTTTTCTCCTAGACAATATGTGGCCGTCTTGGACAATTTTGACTGTATTCTTTTTTTAAAAATCGCGATTAACTTTAACAAATTTTAATTAATGCGTATGCTTAAATCTGCGGGATGGCTCGATTTTCGTTAATTAAGCCGGTGCTCAATTAACGAAAAAGAACCCAACCCAAAACAAGAAGAAGAAGAAGAAGAAGAAGAACAACAACAACAACAACGACAACAACAACAACAACAACAGCAACAACAACAACAACAAAGACAAATAACATCGGGGAATCTATTTTCTTTCTGTTTGCGACCGTTCTCGCATTAATCGTGTTCGGTCCCAACAGACTCAACTGTAAATTATCTTACCATAAATGACCAGGTGGAGCTTCTTTCTTCCCAAACCCCAAGCCCCACCATCAACAACAA